AAGTGTGGTGATATAGGAAGAAAATTGTTAGAAATAATTGGATAGAAGATAAACATAAGCATCATGTAGTGTTGGGTAGTAGATAAAAGAATGGGTTTTGAAGATTTAAATTGTTGCTCCTTAATTTACCAGTTTTATAATCTTGAGCAAATTATTTAAGTACTTTAAGCCTCAGTTTTGTTACCCGTAAAATAAAGAAAATTATAATATTTTACATCACAGAGTTATGAGGATTAAATGAGATATTGCATGTACAATACTTTTGAGCACAAAGCCTGCAGTAAATATTAGTTAATATTAATCATCATCATTACTGTCCTGATGTAGGAGTTCTCAGCCTGAAGTTGACTGGAACTATCAATTAACAAGTATTTATCAAGTACCTGATCTCTAGTATTGGACTTAGACCTATGGAAAGAGCTACTGATGTGAATGACAGGTTGGTACCTAAAGGTGGAACAAAGAGAACTAATACTAGTGGAGTTCTTACCACAAGGTTCAATAGTAAGGTAGGTATTATTATTCCCATTTTATAGATGAGGAAGCTGAGGCTTGGTAATGTTAAGTAACTTGTTCAAGATAATGGACTCTTGTTGCATCCCGCTTCTGCCATTTAACTAGCTGTGTGGTCAGAGTAAGGCGCTTAACTTTGAAGGGATGGAGTTACTGACTCACACAAGTTGATATTAATTTGCTTCTACTTTTGAATATATTGACATGTTCTTCAGTGTCAAAAAATACAGATATCTATTCTTCTAACTCTTACCAGTTAGTGCCCCTCTTTTGAGGGCACTATAAATCTATAAATCCATCCCCCCTATTTCTTCAGCCTTAAGATTCTCCAGTCCAACTTAGAAAATATCAACTTTGTTGATAGTTAGATTGAACAATAAAGTGTTAAAATTAAGGGTAATGATGGATGTGACACTGTTGAGATGGTAGGAAACAGTTTATGGGAATTAACCTAGGTGTCACTACATAGCCTAATCTATTCTTTAGGGTCTCAAAGAGGAAATAAATGGTGCTGTTGGAATTTACCAAAGGTTGATCAAACTGCATGACTAAGAATTATAAGGGATGTGTGTTCAGAGTTTTCCCTTAGGACTCAGATATTTACTTGTCAAACCATCCTGTCTTGTTCTGGAAATTGCTTGGGCTTCAAATATGAGTAAGAGGACTTGGGAAAACAAACCTGAATCCTGGATGTTGATTTGGAAAGAAAAGACCTCAGGCTAATGCTATAAATTATCAATACCGCACCCTTCATATGTAATGTATCATTCACATTCTAATCAGAGAGCTCTAAATTCACATATAGTTATGATGCTGTGTTGGGAGCTGTAGCAGAGAAATTAGCAATTGAATTCCTGTCCTCTAAGACCAAAAATGTGTATAGCTACCCTGATATCTCATTAATGGGACTGTAAAAGGGTACAACTTATTTGGGGAAAAAAATAGGACATATATAAAATATAAAAATGTACATGCCCTTTAGCACAGCAATTTTACTTCTAGGAATTTATCCTTCATATATGCATATGCATGAGGATATTTACAGCAGCATTGTTTGTAGTCACAAATGACTGGAAACAACCTAATGTTTATCAATAGGTGACTGATTGAAATATATATCTATATAAGGAAATACTGTTCAATCTTGAAAAAGAATAAAGTAGATCTACATTAATATACAACAATCTCCTGGGTATATTAAGTGAAAAACATTTAGTATACTGTAGTATATAACCCACGTGTGAAAATGAACAAAAACAGACACAAGCATTCTGACATAGACTCTCTGGAAGACTCTCCAGAAGTATCACAAGACGTTTCTTCTGAGATTCTTCTGATATACAGAGGAGGGTGGGGTGGGAAAGCAATATACTTTCTGTTACTGAAAATGTTTTTAAATATTTGCATCAAATGTCTTAAAATGCCGTGTGAGATATATGCATTTGGCCATATACTGTTACTATAGAAACAATATATGAACTTATACTCATTGATGAGGACTTTTGTGTACATGCTTTGGTATTTGTGCTTTTGAACTTGAGGATTTTGTCAGTCAGTCTTTTGACCTAGGAATGAAGAGCAATATTTATTGACCACCCATTCCAGGGTAGGGTGGATACTGGTAGGAGAAGTTTCAGGTATTAGATGAAGAAAAAACTGAATATAGTTTTGAAAAAGAATATTAAAAAAATATAGAGTATTGAAATGGTTAAGTTATTCTGCCTGAGTAAAGCAGAAGGGTCAGAGAGAAGACAAATTAGATGGATGACTTGAAAGCATTTTGGAAGTATGAATGTACATGGAAATGAGGAACAGAGAAGGCAGTCGACGGTCCATAGGGAACTAAAATCATTTTATAAACATTATGTCATCTTTAAATTATGCCCTTTTGTAAAAAGTTATTTTCCAGACTTTCAAAAAACAAAATAAAGAAATTGAAGCCCAGATGATAATTTGTGGTTTCCTAAGTAATATAAGAAGAAAATAGCAAAATGAGGAATAGAACTTTGTTTTCTTGATTTCCATTCTAGCCCACGAGTATTCTGAGATCACGTGAACCTGGATATGGGAATAGCACCAAAGAACAAAACAAAAATTTTTTAAAATTCTGTTTTGCACTGGATATGTAAAAGCATTTGTTTCCAAAGTATGGTTATATTTCTCCCCATCCAGTCTTAGGAGATGAGGGTAGGAATGGGGAGTGAATCCAGCTTGGACATTGCATTACCATTTCTTTTTTCACTCTGAGTCATTCTGGTTCAGGAAAAGAAAGGATAGTGAAAATACTAACATTTTCACACCACTTTACAGTTTAAAATTTTTTTCTCATGTGTATTATTTTCTCACTTTGCAGCTCTTCTCTGATATGGGTAGTGGTGATGTTTTGTTATTTTTATTAGGCTTTCACTGTTAAAAGAAAAAATAGGCTCCAGAAAGTTGGGTAATTTGGCTGAGAAAACATAGCTGATAAGTGTCAAAGCTGGCCTTCACAAATGGAACTCAGATTTTTTTCCTTTCTACCCAAGTATAAAGTCTTTTATGAGGTAGATTTCCTTAGCTTTGTGGAAGATCAATTCTGCGTTGGGCATCGATAAAGAAAACATTTGGAAGCCTAAAACTTCATGTCAGAGTGGTTCAATAAGTGATGATTTTGGGGGGCAGGTGAGGCTCTGACCTTCCTGAGGCAGGCACAGCTGATGTCCTTGTAGTTTTCATGTCCTCTCCAAGCCCTTTTCAGAGCAGCTTGTCACGTCCTCACTTGCTGCTTCAGTCTGAGCAGTGGGCTAATTAAAGGGAGTGTACTTAACTTACACTCTGCCTGAAGACATGCACCGGATTAGTCATAGGAGAGCTATTTTTGTAATTAATCATACATAAATTAGTAAATGTCTTTTTGTAAAAAATATTGGTGAAGTTTGTTTCTCACACTAAAGTTTGATAAACAAAGGGTGAGAAGAAGCAGGAAAATGAAATAAGCCTCAAGCTTGGCAAGCATAATGATCTTTTCTATGTTTTTATATTTTAGAGATGCTGGGAGAGAATTTGGTGTTTAATGCATTACCTGATTAAACTGAAGAAGAGTTTCTATGCTCTAGTGTGGGTCCAGAGTCTAACTGTGTCTAATATTTGACTTTCGGATTTACTCTGAGTGCACTGGAAAGCCACTGAGTGTTTTTAAGCCGAGGAGTAATAGCATCTGATTAGTGATTTTAAAGAGATACCTTGGCTGTTGAGTAGAGATGTCTGTGGGGAGAGAGGGCAGTGTTAGAGCTTAGGAGCATCAGTTTACTCTAATGAAACACCTGAGTAGAGACATATTAAATGAGAATGCCATTACCTTACAGTGAAAAATACATGTGATTTGAATTGGATATTTGGGTTGACTGGTAGATTCTTAGTTTATCTCAGGATCCTCAATATGTTTTGAAAGCTCTTCAGGTGATTCTAATATGTAGCCAGGGTTGAGAACTCCTGCTTTATCTTGGGGGAAAAAGGGAGAGATCTTGGGAGTAAGCTTGGGAGAAGCAGATAATGAATGAAAAGCTATGGAGAGCTTGGAAGGTATTACTATTGTTTATCTGTTGTTTTTGGAATTCTGCTTTCATATTTATATGTTCAAATGTCTGGATACTTTGGTGCTATGAATTTAGTAACATTAAACTTTATGGAGTTCCCACTTATCCAGCCTCTTCTAATTCATTCTTTCCTATCTGTTCCTTTCCATGTGAAGAGAAGAAAGTATGGAGAAGGGTTGACTAGAATATAATACAATTTGATAAGAATTTTCCAGCATTAACAGAAGAATCTCTCTCTTAAAAACTCTTAAAACCATTTCTAAGACTAGTTGCATTTGATCTATTTAAAAAATATATATGTATGTGTAACTATGTATATACACACATTCAGAAATTTGAGCAAACCAACAATATTAGTTGTCTGCATACCTGGAATTCTGGATTAAGATTGCTAATGCTTTCTATAATTGGGTAGAAGAACATGTAGCTTTTCTTTGTCTTGCTCTAGGATTTTTGTGTTTTATTAATATAAACTTGTATCTTGATGCTTTTTATACGAAGGAAACAAATTATCTATTTTAGGATGAGAGACTTAGAATATGAGTGAAAAGGAATAAAATGACTAAAAATTATCACAGGAGACCTTTTTTTGTTTTTTATAGATTACAACCTCTAATCCTGAATCATTAATGTATTGTGAAAAGCTGGATTAGTTACAGCTAAAAATTCTTTTCCTCCTTCGGAGCTGCAGTAGGAAACATAGAGAAGGTTTGTAGAAGTTCTGGGTATCAAACACAGTAGTTAGAGCAGTTATACTGCCAGGATTTAATGTAGCCAATACAATTTAGGGCTGTTTATTTGTGGACATTTGGGATCGCCTCTATGCTGTTTTATCCAGTAATGTAGTGTAGTAGACTCTGTTGAAAGTCATGCCTTAAATATTGAAGTGCCTTTTTGTTTTTCTATTCATAGTGGTAGTCGCTCCTCTAAAACGTTTAAACCAAAGAAGAACATTCCAGAGGGTTCTCACCAGTATGAGCTCTTAAAGCATGCAGAAGCCACACTTGGCAGTGGCAACCTCCGGATGGCTGTCATGCTTCCTGAGGGGGAAGATCTAAATGAGTGGGTTGCAGTGAACAGTAAGTAGACTTGCTTTTTCTCCGTAGACTCTCTAAGTTAGGTTAGTAGCCTCATTGTACGTGAGTGTTGGGGTGCTATCTATTTTAGGATCCAGTCAGAAACCTAATAGTACAATATAGTAACACCTCAATCCACTGTAGCCTTTATGTTATTTTATTTCTGAATATGGAGCTTTAAGAAATTCTTGTCTCCTGTTATAATGTAATACAAAGCATAGATTTACCATCTTCAGTGAAAAAAATGATAATAGCAAATTAACATTTATAGGACACTGATTATGTGTCTGGCAGTCTGCTGTCCTTTCTACATGGATTTCATCTTTACAACCTCATGAGATAGGTACTGTTATTATCCCAGTTTAATATAGATAAGGAAGCTGACACAGAAAGATTAGTAATTTGCCTAGGTAATACAGCTATTAAATGCAGAGCATGGGCTCCAATGTAGAGCTATAGATTTTCTGAAACTGTGCTTTAACCACTATGCTAAATTGCCTCTTTCAGTAGCATAGTCAGTTATTTGTCTAAATTATGCTTTTTTTAAAAAAAGA